ATTGTCTGGGTGGGTGTCTGAGGCAAGCGATTACTTTTCAAGGCATGTGTTAGTTCTATAATTACTTRACAGCGTAAATTGACTGCTTTAAAGTCAAATATCATGTAAAAGTAAAATTAATATAAATTAATCCAAGCCTAATCTTTACATTTGAAGTAGATTTGTTCGTCTGTTCCCGCGCGAATTCTTGACTCGAGTCGCGGACATCTTCGTCTGGCCATCTCAGCATAGAAACATCGAGATCTCTGTAAACTTCTTCGGTTTCTGTCTCATCTAAAGACCAGGTATACTTCGTTCCCTCTGTTGCTTTTTTTCCTCCATTTTTCTTGGCTTCAACTAGCTTTCTTGTTCGTTTATGGCGATCTCTAGTTCGAGAATTCTTGGTCGCCATCTTTGTTGTTCACTCAAACTTGGCGCCTTCGAGTACATCTACCAATCAGCAAAGAGCTTTGAGAACGAGGGTGATTGGTACCCAGTTTTCGCCATGATATTCACAGGTAGCCCAAAATCATTAAATGGATATCTATCTTTGGCAAATCTTTTTGAAAACAAAGAAAGAAAGAAAAACAAGGCTGCCCTCCCAYCAAACTTGATATGCTAATATTGTAGCAATTTTAATTGCTAAAAAACACCTACGCAATGTCGCACTTACAGCATTTATTCATAGCACATTAATATTACAATTCAACTTGAGATATTATCAGTTATTAATGTTGTCCACGCACACTGKAAGTGGATTTACAACTCTTTCCATGTGTCACGGTTTCTATTGTGTTTTTCCTTATGAATAGAGTTTTATAAGATGTGCAAATGTATAATTATAAAAACGCAAATTATTCTTTAATGTGCTTGTTAATCAGATACGTCAATCCAATATCACTTGTTTTGACCACCAAGTGGCGGATCCAGCTGGTGGGTGCAATGGGTGCGATCCCCCTGAGATCTGTATCCTTCAATACTTTCCTTATTTTGTGTGTTCATTGTAATGATTTTTGTGTGGGGTGCACCCCTCTTAAGAGGCCCTCACCCCTCCCCTGAGGAATATCCTGGATCCGCCTCTGACTCCGCCGCTGCAAAAGCCGGGTATAACACAGGGTAACACAGAAGTGCAGGCAATCACCTCGTCCAAACTAAATGGACCACTATCGTCCTGAGCCRCATTTTCCTTTCTTCATTGTTTTATGTCCGATCTCTTATACCTCTTATCGATTTTGTACAGGCAYATCGGACCAAGTTCAAGGGCATGCGTACAGCCTTTTTTTGCGCAGATCTCTCTCGTAGGCCCCGTAGCAAGTTCATTGCTTTTTTCAGTCAACTCCGATCCAGCACTTCTATCTCAAGATACATCATTTCCCACGAGTGCGGCACAAGCTGAATTTTGGGGTTCTGTCCCAAATATACAATCTTTTGACTTGTAAACTGACGTTGAGACCACAAATACACCAGAAAACGAAATGTTCACAATTATTCTTGAAAAGACTGTACTTCTTCTCACCGAGTCTACTTTTTGCTCTTAAGATGATTTCATTGACACTATATCTGACGAGGKACTTGGGCCACATCATCTTGTACACCTAAAAAAATCGAAACGTCATCTATAACTACATATTAACATGATGATGTGAAGTAAACGCAAAGTTACTTATTCCAAGTCATGTTCTCTTGAAATAAGATTGCACATCTCAAATCAAGAGCAGGGAAATTCTCTAATCAAGAAAAAAATATCTGGTAAGAATGTTTGAACTTAAAACAAGATACAATGTGTACTAAATAATCAACAAGTTCTCTTTTTAAAATTGTTTTGAGTGTATTCCGATATCATTTTAAGAGAACACTAGTTTCATTTAAGAATGAAAATTTGAGATATGATAGAACTCATTTGAAGGTCTTCAAACAACCACATAAGAACACTTAAAATGAGCAATGTTGATCTTGGGGTAAGTTTTTTTCGTTTACAGTGATTGCGCTAAGTAATGATTTCTATAATTAAGTTCGTCACGATATTATCAAGTGTAATGACTTAGTAATATTCGTACCTTTTCGACTTCTAGTCCTGCGTATGTATACCTCTTCTCTTTGATGATAGCAAGTACACCATTATCTAAAAAACTGGGACCAGTATATTCTACAACAACAATTCTGCCTTCATAGTTTACGTCAACGATGATTCCATGATGATCATAGAGTCYRCGAGGAAAGACAACGTGATCTCCTGGTCCCACATTCTTCGCTGARGCYGAGACYKGCTCCCTACCAAAGATGTTTATAACACTCTCAAAAAACTCTACAAGCTTATTTGGATSATAAYKTTCGAGTTTTGAAAAATCTGTGCTTAACACTGTACTCGTCATGGTCGTGAGTCGATTTAATATACGACATACGGGCTGGTACGTTGTGYCTTTGGGCATGTCGAAACGTAGCCATTTTAGGGACTTTCCCCCATAGTGATTTCCCCAAGGGAAAGTTATATCGGGGATTTCACAAACAGCTAATCATTGGCTAATCAAGAATACGTCGTTCTCGCTTCATAAAAACATCGAGCAATTTTTTTTCTCTTGTCAACAAATCATCGAAAAAAACTCAAAAAGACAAAAATTCAGAACCCCGAAAATGTCAAAATCACACACGTTGCCATCCTTTATATTCTCCSACTTCAAAGCGTACGCACTTTATAATAATCACACATGACGTAATTGATAACTTGATGACGTAACTTGATGACGTAAATACGTTTAAATTACATAATGTTTATTCTTTACACAAAAACTACATCAAGAAAACCATAGCAGAGCGCTACAAGAGTAGACTAAGAGTGCGAGGACTGGGTTAGACTATGGACCTGAGGTTGTTCACTGTGGCAGATAGCTGATACAGTCAGTAAAATTCAAGCAATGATGCCAGCAACATTTTTAGCCCCTATTCTTGAAATAATAGCCTTATTCAAATATCTCAATTATGGATAAATATTTGAAGTGCAGTCAT